GGTATTAATGCTTAATTGAGCGTGCTTCATTTAAATCAGAAGCCAAGAAGAATTGGTAGGGAAGATTTCTTACCTATGCCAGCTGCATAGCCAATTCTCTTAAGAAAAAAAGTAATCAGTAAATTGATTAAGGTTTGTACGTGGAAAATAACAATAAATAGGGTCTCTTTGTAAAACTGTCTTTTGCTTTGTTTTCCAGATAAAATAAGTTGTGTTGTACTAATGGCAGGGACAGCAAAAGCCCAATGCCAGATGAGGGAAAAGGAAAAGCCCATTTTGAGAGCAAACCAAGAGAGCATTTCGCTCCTGTAGGAGCAAGCCGTTAGCACATGTGGCTTAGATTGCTATAACCAGCTCTGTGGTTCAGGTTGATTGTGGCAGCAGCTCCCGCTCATCCCTGCTCAGGCTGCTGGCTGCAGGGCTCTGGTCTTCCAACACTGCCACCTGCCAGCAGCTGCTCCACACAGCAGCAGATTGTCTTGTCGACAAGCTGTAACTTTTTATTACAGATGTCTTAAAATTAATGGCCCTTAGTCTCCTCTCAGTCACTTGAGTGGGAATGAGGGCATCCATGTGAAGGAGAGGAGGCTTCTACTTGATGCATTTCATTCCTCGAACTCACCTCTGAATTTTTAAGCCTTTAGTTGTCATTCAAAGAAAGTCCTGGGAGACATTCTGCTACAAAAACAAGAGCAGCAGCAGGAGGAAGGAAGTCTCAGTAGGTGAAGTGATGCTCTTACAAGATGCATGTTGTTGGAAACTTGTCTTTTAGCAAAATTGTGAGCCTTTGCCTTTCTCTGCTGGTAGAGGCATCTAAAGTTGAACTGCATCCTGGCTGAGGGGTGCAATCTTCTGTCAAAGTAAGCATGTTTTGTCTTTTGGGGGCATGGGTGGAATCCAGAAGGAGGGTCCACCCTCATCTGCTATCATTCTTCCATTTTATAAAGTGTTTCTGGAGTACTCCTTGGCATGGTATTCATAAGCTGGAATAGCAAAAATGCAGGTTTTGGTTTGTCTCACAAACTGGAAACAAAAGAAGAAAGTACCTCACATGTCACTCTCCATGTGATTTCATTAGCTCTTATCCTTTATCAGGCACAGCAGATGTTCAAGGGTGAATCCAACACAAAAACACATAACTCAAAGTAATTTTTATTATCTCTGGAAGGCAAACTATTTACAGCAGCAAAGTAACAGGGAGGAGTATGAGCATATGCCACTGTACTCTGTTTGCTTGGCCTGTGGCCTCTTGAATAGCTTCTGCTGGGAGTCCCATGGTTAAGACAGCATCAGCATTTCTCTTACCGTTTACTTTCTTGTTGTCCTTATAGGATATTTTATATGGACCACTGCAGCAGCCTATTGTCTCCGTATCGGAGCAATGCTTCCTGCTGCATACAAGTATTTTTCAGTTTGAGGTGCTGGTGGCATTTATATCCAGTTTAGGCTCTTTTCATTTGGTTTGCACTGCACAAATACAGATGATGAGGGTAATTTTGAAGACTTTTACAATCAGAAACTCTCTTTTTTGAGTTCTTAGAAAATATAATTTAACCAATAGAAGTATGTGAGTTTGACCATGCAGGACATTCTGTGTTAATAAACTTGTAAAATGTTACTCATTATCTTGCCACAAATAAATTAAATGCTTTGCATGCTCCAGAGGTTTATGGAAAACTGTCAAAATGACAAGCTGTTTGATAGAATTTCTAAACATTTGTTCAGGAAAGTGTCACTGTAACTTTTAGATACTTTCTTGTACCTTCTTTTTATTTAAGGACTTTGTCCATAAGCCATTTTTAATCCTGTTACAGTTTTAAAACCTCTTCGTGTGGGCTCCTGAACCCACTTTACATCCATTTAGATTTCCGTATATTTTGCTTTGTCAGGAGTACCTCTTTGATACACTCAGGCCAGTCTGCAGGTTTATTAACATTATTTCCTGAGGAAAAAAGGGCAGTGCAAGAAGTAGTGTTTGTTCACACTGGTAGATACTCTTAACTTTGGAACATGATTAAGCACAGAAATGCATGGATATGTGTAAGCATTTGAAAGGCTGCAGCCCAGCTCAGTATGGCTGAACTGCAAAGACCTGATCAACCACCAAAGGATGAATAGTAGTTACTACTGGTAGTGTAACTCCCATCTGCTCTCCTGTGTTAAAGTGCAATGTCTATCACGAGTTACTATGGAGCTTCCTGACTGCTGTGTGCTGATGCACCGTGATAATAAAACACTTTTGCAAATTACAGGTGTCTCTGCAAGCATTCACAGGGTTGAAGCTTACCAGACCCATGCCTCCAACTACAGTGAATGTACATGATCTTCTTTCTGATTGTATAAGTTACTGGATCAGGAGTTCTTTATCTTTAGTAAAATGTTGATAGCAGTAGAAATGTGTAAGCTCAGTCTGATAGGCAAACTGTCTTCATTGCCTTGTAAATATAGCATGTTTATGGCACACCTTCTTGAATGATAAGGAATCCTTAGGAAGATCTATGCCCAAGACCTTGAAGAGTGAATTTCATAAAAGACATGTGAATTTCAGTGATTCAGTTTCTTCCTCCACTTCTGGAAGGATTCACTAGCCCATGAAGAATGGGCCTTCTAGTAATTCTGACTTGCCAGATAATCATGAAGAAAGATGTGAATGTGCTCGCTGTCTCCTTTGCTGTTAGTATTGTTAACCATAAAGCTTGTTTTATTTCTTTTTAGGTGAGTGCTGAGTTGATTCTTTATCATGACCAGCTAGTGGCTGACACTGTTTTATGGCTGACTGCTGGGAAAGCTTCACTGGAGAAGGAGCTGCATTGCACATAAAGTGGTGTTTGTGAAGAGCTACCATTCCACCAAGCTGGATGAGCCCAGGCTGACCAGAACTAATGAACATATCCTTTCAATAACAACTAATACCATGTAATGCCTGTACGAAAAAGGTAAGGCTTTTGATGACATGACTTCTGTTTTAACTGCTAGCATACAACGAAGTCTCTGTGCGTACCTGATAGCAGAGCACAGTTTTCAGTGAGACCCTCTGATTTTGCTAAAATTACCACAGCTTTGAATGTTGTTGTCAATGTTTCATTCAGTGTTTTGAATGAAAAATAAATACCTCTTCAAACATGGATGCAAATGGGAAAAAAAAATCCCCTGAAACTGTGCTTAATTGGCATTACAATCAGAAAGAATTCTGACCTCTGATAAAGGTACATGGGAGACAGGGTAAGGGAGAGGTAAAAAGCTGAGACAAACCCCCTACCTATAGCACTGAATGGGTGAAACTGGGGTGTGTGTGTGTGTGTGTGTGTGTGTGTGAGAGGGCATATTTCTCTCCCAGGCTGGGTCTTAACTTCATGAGAGATATAAAGTAATTTTCTTCTATGACATGTCACCAGGAAGAAACAGATACTAACAGTGAGGAGCAACTCCCTCATGAGCAGGGAGATAGGGAACCAGGGCATCAGGAGATTTGGAGACGGCACCAGCCCTGAGCAGGCTCTTCCACCAGGCAGCAACCAGGCAGGCATGGTATGAAAAGCCTTAGAATCCCATTTCAGCAGGTGTTTCAAGCAAGGAAGATGTGAGAATTCCTCACCCCAACACTGGTGCTACCACAAGAGAGACACGGACCCAGTGAGCTCACCCCACAGACAGTGTTTTCATGCCACAAATGGTGTTTCAGAGGTAAGTTTTAGGCCTAATGAAGTGTGTTGAAGGTGCTTTAGTGATCATGCTTTTTGTTTTCTTCCTGTGAAAACTGTGTAACAAATCTGTGTGTATTGCTTCTGCCCTGCCTTAGGTATGATTTCATTATATAGGATATCATTATATATAGGACTTAATTATGTAGGATATAAGAAAGATTTGTTAACTGAATGACTTATGGCAGGGATTTAGTGTGGAATTCAGTTGCTGTCACCTCTTGTCTTTATTTGATGAAAGAGATGAAACTTTCTGCATTTTCAGAGTATTTTAGCAAGTTCCCTGCTGTTATCTGGATGCCTGAAATGTTATTTGATGCCTTGTTGTGATTTGTATGTTTCTCACACCGGGTGACGTTAATATTTAATGAATTTGAGACCATCACAAAGAGAAAATTCGATGCACATGGTGATATAAGTACTCTCCTGTGGTAGCTCTCACTTGAGAAATTATTAGGGTAGATTTTTTTTTCCCCTATGGCTGTTGCTTTAGAAGGGTTGTGGCCTGACTGGAATTGGAAGAGGGAAACATAGGCACTTAATACAGATTTAGAAGTAAGAAAAAGCGTTTGCCAAAAAATTCAGTACATCTTTCCAATGGAATAAACCATTTGGATAGGTGAAAATCTCTTCTGGAGTAGTGCATAATAATATGTACCTTGACAGGCTCATCTAGGTTTAAAATGAAGGGGAATGTAAAGATGATGTTTCCCAGAAAAAGATATACATCCAGGTTACACACGTTATATTTATGTACCTATGTGTTTATAATAGTCTACACTATGTGGAGCAAATCTGGTACCCCACTTGCGTTTCTAGGGACTATAAACCCCTTTTAATAGCACGTAAACGATCATATTTGCCTGTGCAGCTTCAACTTATATGGACTGAGGTTGGGAGCTAAAAGTTAAGCTTTCTTTTCTCATAGAGATGTCTAGTGATGTCTGCAGGTTTGCCAGTACCATTTTTTTCCTATCACAGGTGCAATTTTAGCTATTTTAGGACTTCTGTTTCCTACCCTAAAGGTAGGTGAGAAATTGTGTTAGAAATGAGGTTCACATATCTTACTTTTTAGAACTAAGCTAAGGCTTTCAGACGTCTTGGCTTTGGGGGTTTGTTCTTAAAATTAACTTGTAAATCTAACTGTCTTGATTCTTAAGGGGAAGGGGAAATGTATTTAAAGTAGTCCTGTGTGTACCAGCCTGCCATGCACTTGATTTGCCATTACATTTGAGATAGCAGCTCACATCCACCTCCCAAAGAAAGAAAGTAAGAACCTGTATAAATCTGAAAACAGTGTTCAGACTCGTTTGCTTCAGAGAGTGTTTATTTCCCCAAATGAAACATCACAGTTTGAAGGAAAACGGTTTGTGAAACAGGCTTGGGAGGATCTGTCACAGAAAATGCCCCTGCCACACACTGCAAGTGTCATCCCGTCCAGTGCGTTTCTATGTGCAAAAGCTGGGTTTCAGTGATGTCCGTGGGTACTACTGCCCGTGTTTCTACCTAGGACAGGAAAGCGTGGACCTACAAACGGGAAGCGTTAAGGAGAGGAGCTGCAGAGGTTGCAGCACCCGCCGGGTAGCCGAGAGACCGGGAAGGGAGGGAAGGGAGCGAGGCCCCGGTAGCTGTCACGCTGCAGCTCCCCAGCCCCTCGGGCGAGAGGCGGGGTGAGCCCAAACCCCGATGGGGAGAGCTTGGGCCTGAGAAAGCCTCTCCGGGCAGGGGGGCAGCGGCGCCGGGAAGCGGGACTTTGTGTTGCGGCTGCCGCTGGAGGGGGGGGGCAGCACAGGGGCCGGGAGGGAGCGGAGCGGGGCGGGGGGGGACCGGAGGAGAGCCGGGACGGAACCTCGGCGGTCCAGGCCAGGCGGGGAGCGGAGCCTCGCCGAGGCGCTCCCGCGCTCCCTCCCGCTCTCCTTCCCTTCTCCCCTCTCGCTGACAGCTGGCAAGACCTGCCCGCAAGCACCAGCGGCTCTGACACCAGTCGGGCTGCGGGGCCAGGGACGAGCCCTGCGGAGGCGGCCGCGCTCTGCCCAGGTACCGGGGTTTGCGCCGCACCAGCCCTGCCACAGTTTCCTCCCCTCCTTACTCCTCTGTTACCTTTTCCTCCTCCTCGTCTTCCCTCCTCTTCTCCTCGGTCCCCTCTCTGCCGATCCCCCCCGCCCCACCCGCGGGCGCAGCCCCCGACGCCGCGGCCGGTCCGGGCGGTGCTCGGCGGGGCCCGGGAGGGAGTGGCCGGGCATCTCCCGGCAGGGAAACGGGGTCTGGGGCTGGCAGCCTGTCTGTGCGTGTGTGCGCCGGGGGGGAGGGAGGCCTGGGGGCCGGGGGGTGCCGGAGGAGGGACTATGGGGAGAGGAAGGTATAAGAAGGGATGCGGGCAGGGGAGGGGGGTGATGGAAAGAGGGGGTGCGGGGCCGAGGGGCAGGCGCTGACAGCCGCTTTCCCTGCACCCACAGTCCCCTCCCCCGGTGCCGCTGTGGGGTGGGACTCCCCGGCGGGCCACTGTCTCCCGTCCTGTTACCCTTACCCACCCCACCGGGGTCGGTGCTGGGCCGGGCTCCCCCACCCGACGGCGCGTCCCCGGGACAGCGGCTCCTTCCGGGACGATGCCCCGGCGGCTCGGCGGGGGCTGGCCGGTGGCTCCAAACCTCGTCCCGGCCGCCGCTGTCCTCCTGGGCGCGCTCTGCTTCCCCGGGGCTCTGGCCTCGTCCCTGCTCACAGGTAAGCGGGCGCGGAGGGGCCGCTGAGGGTGCGCGCTGTCCACCGGCCGCCGGGACCCGCCGTCGGGCGCGGGAAGGTGCCACCGCGTGGTTTAGGGCAGGTGAACGCGGGAACCTCGCTCCCCCCACCCCCCCATCCCCTTGAGGGTGATGTTTTCCGGACATCTGGGGCACGGAGGGAAACGCCGAATCAATTTCTAGTGCAATCGAGGAGCCATTATATTGTGGGAAGTGATTCCAACGTGACACAATAGCGGCTAATCAGCGGTAGGGCCATAAAGGGATTTCTAGTTTGATGCCGTTTGACAGTCAGCCTGCTAATTTTGACTCATTTGCCAGTTGCCGGCCATGCGTTACAAGGATGCTTGGTTCCCGGCTCGTGCGACGCTCCTGGTCCAAGTCCTTGCAGTGTGATGGACAGCTTTCTGCTGATCTCAGTGAGCTATGGAGCTGTTGTTACAGAAGTCTCCTGCTTTGCGTGGAGTACTCGTTATTCTCCACACGTCATCTGAGAAGAGAAAAAGCGTCCTTCTTTGCTATAACTGGGGCACAAAGAAAGCCTAGGTTGGTGTGGCAATAAAGGGCCAGTCATTCCCTTTGGAATCTTACAGAAATGCTGAGCGTCCATGCCTGCTTGAAGTGGGCAAAGTAAGGCAAGATTTTAAATCAAAGGCTAGGGGTTAAACGTGAGTGTGATGAGGACAGTTTTCAGAGCCAGCTGGGGGAATTCTGTCAGTGTTCTAAAACCTGTGTTTCTGTTACAGGATCTGTTGCAAAATGTGAAAATGAAGGGGAAATTCTGCAGATACCGTTTATCACAGACAACCCCTGTATAATGTGTGTTTGCCTGGTAAGTTTGGATTTCAGATAGGAAGAACATTCAGGCCTGTGCTAAGAGTAGCTGCATGGAGAGGGGAATATTTAACATAATCAAATCTTGGGTACCTCTGTCGCCTTCATGTAACACAAGGTTATCTCAGAGCTGAGCTAATGGAAAGTAATCCCATCCGTGATCTGGCAGTCATTTCTTTGGCTTTAAAACTCTGGGGCTCAAAGTTGTACGTGACTTTAATTTGACATTGCGAAACCACATTTACTATGCGAATTTGGGCCGGGGGGAAGAACAAGTCGGGGTGCACACAAAAGTCTTTGCATGTAGTTCAGCAAAGGGAGTGAAAGGTAAGGCTTGGAAATGCTGCTGCTTCGAGCTCCCACGTGCTTAGTGTCACACGGTGGTAGCTGAGGAGCAGCGCCAGGGTGCAAGGTGAAAGCTGCAACGTGACTCTACATGCTGTAGTAAGATGATGGTGAAACCATAAGCGATGCTTTCATCGGGGCGCTTTGTTCCAAGGATGACGCTGCCTGCTGTGCTGGGAATGCAGTGGTTAATAATGTCACTAGCTGATACACATTTTGGGGAGAAACATTCCCTTTCCTTATAAACTCCACTTCGGAGTTAAGCGTTTTTGGGAGTAGTTCAGCTGGACAAGCCAAGGCTTAGGAGATATTGAAAAACAGTTGTTCTAAATAAAACTGCCTACAATGTATTTAAAAGAAAGCCATAAAACCTTAATTTGCTGTTGAATGCAAAGGAAAGTATAGACCAGAAAGCACTATGTTTTACATTTTGGAAGTTATAGAGTAGCTGAATGTACAGAATGTGCTCTACTTTAGGACTAAAATACCAACATACCCTCTCCCCCCTTCTATTATTGCTCTTAATAATAGTAGTATTAGCCAGCATTATCATGTCTGTAAGAGACTTAAAGAATTGTTTCAAACTGCCTTTTAGAAGGCAGTTTTGGCAACTGTAGGTCTCTGATCTTGAGCCTGTCAAGTTAATCGATGTATTGACTTCTATAGATTTTAAGTGAGACACGGTGATAACTTTTTAGCTAATAGTAATAAAGAATAAGTTATCAATTCTTCTGAGTAGAGGAGGAGGATGAGGATGAGGATGGGATGTGGTAAGTAAAGAAATCAAAGGGAAAACAAAAAAAAGAGACAAAGCTGTGTTTTATCATGGATCAGCTTCCCAAGTATGTCTGCCACCACTCTTGCTAATGGAATCTGGTGTTAACCAGTGAGGAAGCAATTTATCTGTGAAGGAGCAGAAGTTCAGCCTTGGGCATCAGGGCAATAATGCATCAGGGTAAAATACTTGTATTTATAGATCTCTCTAGACCTTGGCTTTATGAAATCAATGAGCACCCTTTTAGTGCATGAACATGAAGAACTGCAAAAAGCATTGGATGTAAGAACTCTAAATCTCTGTGGTTTCTGTGGCTTGCTTTAGTGAAATGGCAGCTGAGGGCATTTGGCTCCTCTCTGTGCAAGGAGGACACTATGTCTTCTTAAGAGTACAGATGCCTGATGAATTCCTGCTGTTACCTGCACTGGATACGCTCTCTTTTATTTTTGCCAAAGGATATATGTGATCTCTTTCTTGAGTTGGAAGCTGGGAGACCTGGTAGAGGAGAAGGAAGCCAGTCTGGAGATACTTTAACGCTGTGCAGCATCCAAAGCAATTGGATAGCCTCTCGCTGAAATCTTTGTTCAGGCCTGCCACGATGGAGAAGATCAATTTTATGAGGCCTGGGGAGAGCAGAAACAAAAGAAATGATGTGGTGATTTGTGTCCAGGAGTGAAGAGAGAACCAGGTTTCCTTACATCCAACTGGAAATATTGATTGTTTATTAGCAATTCAGTGAGGAACTTCCTCTAGAAGACTGCTCATACTCTTCAAGTGCATACCTCATGGATGTTTGTATTGTAAGAAAGGAGCAACTAGAGTGATTAATCAGCTGTTCCAGGAAGGAAGCATTTTTTGTCCAGGAGAGGACAGAACATTCAACAGAGGGCACTTGTGTTAAAAACACCAGTAAAGTAACTGAAATACAGGATTCGATTATGGCAGGTCTTCCCTAGTGGTGATTCATTTCCATGGCTGCAAGCTGCCGTAGATAACTGGACAAGTTATAGAAATCTAAATGGCTCTGGGAAGAAGAGGAATATCTAAATAACTCCCTTCCAGGACTTTCCCTATCTCACAAATGAGAGAAGACAGAACTGAAATGTGAGAACTGAATCATCAAGTGCTTGACAGAACTGACTGTAGGTTGTGTCCTGAATGGGGATGCATCCCAGCAAGGGAAAAGAGGGAGGCAGCATAAGCAAAGTGATCTCCAGCTTTCTCTTCACAGGCTAAATCACTTGGGAGGGCAAAGCAACAGGTAGTGAGCTCTACATAAGCTCTTAGTTTGCTTCTAGCTTTTGTTTTAGAGATACTGTTTTAGAGATACTGTTGATCATGAGTACAGAAAGGACACTGGTGTGGATCTCCTAGACACAGGCAAGTCTAACTACCAAACAAGATGAGTTCTTTCTTGAACATCTGCTGTAACATGTGGGAAGAGAAGTTGTGGTGGTAGGGAATTCAGACTGGGGGGTGTGTGCTGGAGATTTTGGGAATGGTACATAGTCACCCACTTCTAAAGTACAGATAATGCTTTCCTAATAAAGAGGCACTGCACGCACCGTGAGATAGCTCTGCTTGGACTTCCTGATTTGTGAAAATGAAACATGGTGGAGTGTGCAGAACAGCACTGATGCTTGCCCTTAATGTAAGGAAATAGGTAAGACTCAGTATGTGTGTTTGTAAATGTACGTTGTAGCTCCAGGTACAAGAACAACCAGCTGAACAAGCCACTACAGCTCAGATGTGGAGTTCCCTAATTTGTAATTTATATGTCTCTACTTTATGGTCTTAATAATGCCCTTAAAAATAGTAACTTTTTAAATCTGTAAGACAATAGTTTCTGTGTGAGCCTTTACAATTACAACACTTTAGCGGTGGTGTATTGCTGTCCAACTAATCATCTCTAAGCACTTAATAAACACAGGATGGATTTGATCTCCAAAGAACTGGTCATTAATTACAGCTGACTGCAAGAAGTGGCCACTTTTATTTTATTTTTAGAGAGAAACATCAAAGTCAGAGAAAGATTGTGGTTTATCCACAAGGAATTTCTTGTGGGAGTGTGATGAAAGCTCAGGTCTCCTAACTCCTGGTCTAATGGATTGACTACAAAGCCATCCCTTCTCACTTCATGCACTTTCACTTTACAAGTGGATGTGGGTTGTATAGTCACAGTATGATTGCACTCATATTCTTTTTCTGTCTCTCTGACAATGGGCAGGCTGCACAGATGCCAGGATTTTGGTGTGTTGGTTCTCCTGAGCTCTCTGAGGCACAGATGGGCAAGGGCAGATTAAAACTGACTTCATGATCGAGAGGTTTTGAGAACTATGATTTATGACTTGCCATTGCTGTCTGCTTAGTGCTGTTAGAGCTAGTGTGCTTTGGTCTTCTGCCCACTTCCACTTTGCATGTCTGTGGTTCTGCATCTCCGAGGAGACGTGCTATCTCTGGAAAGCCACCATGGCACCTGTCTTTCCATAGGGTTTGGGATACTGGAATAGGACAAAGCAGGCTGAAGGCAATTAAGATTTTTAGATTAGGTATTAGAAGCAGTGTCTTCCCTGAAGGGTGCTCAGGCATTGGAACAGGCTGCCCAGGGCAGTGCTGGAGTCACTGTCCCTGGAAGTGTTCACACACTGTGTAGATGAGGCCCTCAGTGACATGGGTTAGGTGGTGGCCTTGGCAGTGCTGGGGTAATGGTTGGACTTGATGTTCTTAAAGGTCTTTTCCAACCCAGCTGATTTTATGGTTCTATGATTTTGAGAGTACCTGCTTTCATGTGCCTTCACTTTATGTGCTGTTCAACGAAGATACTGTTGAAAGCACTGGCATCTTTAGTATTCAGATCTAATAGGTAAAACAGATATATGGAAGTTGCACTAGCAAATGTTTTTTTTGTGAAGCTAGGTCACATAAAAGTGCAGGACAGCCCATTTCTGAGGGCCATGAGTGAACATCCCATTGCAGCTGTGTTTATAGCTACAGACTTCTCTGATGAAAGGATGGGAAATGATGCAAGCTGCAGCAAGCTCTGTATCAGAGGAAGATGAACAAGCGAAAGGAAACTCTGGATGTGATGGGCAGTAACAAGGACTAAGTCAAACAACTCTGTGAATTAGAAATACTGTTGTCGAAAAGAGGGAAAATATTATTTCAGATAATGATGTGGCCCTTGACAGTACAAAGAAAATATGTCAGAGAACATGTGACTGTGAAATTATTTTATGCTTAGTGGTCAATGGTAAGAAAATCTCATGTCCTGCTGGCTTCTGAAAAATCAAAGTAGTGCAAGTGTGGGTTATGAAGGTGACTTGAAAAAGTTTGGGTTTTAAAGAACTTGCCTGAATTGGCAATGATGATTATAGGTGAAAATACATAATCCTGATGGTATTCATAACAGAATTATATTGATTCTGTTTGAGAAATGGATTCTTATATTCTGGTTATTAAATCCTTTAAGACGCAAGCAATTGTAACTACACTAATGCAAAAATTATCTTCTAAAATGCTCTCCCACCTCTCTAAGCATCTTGTGTCCTGGCGGTGTGCACTTGCAGCCTGGAAACCTGGGCTGCATCCCCGGAGCATCAGTTCAAGGGAGGGCATTCTTCACCTCTGCTGTGCTCTGGGGAGACCCCACCTGCAGTCCTGATCCAGCTCTGGGGCAACAACACAAGAGGGGTGTGGAGCTGTTGGAGCAAGTCCAGAGGAGGCCATGGAGATGCTGCGAGGGCTGGAGCAGCTCTGCTCTGGAGCCAGGCTGAGAGAGCTGGGCTGGTTCAGCCTGGAGTAGAGAAGGCTCCTTAAGGGGAGACCTTAGAGCAGCTCCAGTGTCTAAAGGGGCTACAAGAAACTTGGAGAGGGGCTTT